CCATCAGGAGGGAGCTATCCAGGAACGTAGCGTGAAAGCGAAGTATCCAGCGATTTGGAAAGGCATCTAGGATTTGGGATTAAGCTATGTTTTTAAGAACACGGGGATATCAATCTCAACCTAGTCAGGGAATTCTATGCGGGGTTTGACCCACAAGACATTGAGGAGCTGGTGCCAATCCGTGGACGCTTGATAGGTTTTTTAGCCAAGGCCATATGCGACTTTTTAGGTGCTTCAAATGTTCTTGTGGAGCCATTGGAACAATTCATTCACCGGCCTACATATAGAGAGGTGAGGCACACGCTCTGTGGGGTCGACTCTACTACTGCATGGGTTCGGGACAAGGTAACAAATCGTCACAAGAGGTTCCCTAAGAAGAAGATGAAGGCGAAGGCTTAGGTGTAGCTCAAGTTGATAAATGCATGGCTCCTACCGTGCAATCATGACATGCTTATAAGCCGTGAGAGTACTTGTGTGCTATATTTCCTTATGACAGGGAAGAGGGTGAATGTGGGTCACCTGATCTACTACTAGATGGCATCAGTGAGAACGAGTAAACAAATTGATCGAATGCTATTTCCTAATTTCCTGACTCGATTCCTACATCATGAGGGGGTTGAGGAAAAGCTTGAATTTGACCACACTATCGATCAGCTCATCCGACAAACAGACATCACTAATCTCTGGATGAAAGATGAGGCTGGTACGCCTGCATTGACAGGCGTTAAGCGCAATGCGCATGATGATAGTTTCATGGCCCATCTTTATGGAATGATGGATTTGCAGCTGCGGATAGGGGGTCGCCCGACTACATCTGAGGAGAGAACTGAATTGGAGTACGATACCCGCTCAATGCTCATGCTCAGCAGCTGGTTGGTGTAGGAGAGGGATACAGACTCCCGTTGATGAGGATATCAACACCCTGGAGCAGTCTGAGGCTGAGCCAATGCAATCAGATGGTGAGGGAGATGATGAGGAGGAGGATGAACATAATGAAGAGTGGAGAGCGTCAGAGGATGACGACGGTGCTTGATTAGGGAGTTTTCTTGCACCCTACTCTTTTTATTTCTTGTTTTGTCTAATTGTGCATGCACTGAGGACAATGCATGATTTAAGTGTGGGGTGGGAACTTGTAGATATTAGAATTTGTTTTGTTTTTATTATTGTTGTGTTTTTTAGTTAGTTGTTTGTAAGCAAAAATTATAAAAAAAAAACATAAAAAAACTTTAATATGTTGGACTCTTCCCGACGATGGACCTCGTAGACAGTTTTCTTGAGGGAAGTAAGTCTAAAGAAAATACCAAAAAGATTTTTTTTAGGTAGTGTGTAATTCCCCCATGGTTTTTCATTGGGCCGCGGTTCTTTTCCAAGGATTTTTAGTTGAACCGGGTGTAGGCAGTTTTAATTTTTAGGAGTTGGAACCACGTGGTTATGCATTTAATCGCAGCAATATCTCTGAGCTTTGTGATGCCTTGAGAATAGTCAGTACTCTAGTTGTGACACTTAGGCTCAATTTTTGACTCTAGGATAAACACCTTAAATCGTGGATTCTTAAATTTGCTTAACTGCTTTGATTGGAGTGTCGTGATAAGAACCAATCCTGAATGAGTTATGTGCCATGTCTGTGTGAGGTTTGTATGTATTCTGTGCATTGCATTTGATGTCTAGAACTTTCCCCGTGTGTGTGCAAAGCGAAATAGTAGTCTTGTTTAGTCTGAGAAGTGATATAGGCAGTTTCTTTGTTGAGCCAGATATATATAGAGTACCCACCTAAATGTTATGTATCGTAGTTAACCCCTTTGAGCCTATAATCCTGTTTCTTTGGTAACCACATTACAAGTCGTACCCTTTTGTTTGAATCGACCATATATTTGAACCTTGTCACCTCTCATGAGCACTTGAATTGTGATGAATTATGGAAAAGTTAAAGTGTGGGGTGGTGGGTTGGCTTTTAGTGGAACAAATAAAATAAGGAGAAAGCTGCACCATATGAAGAAAAAAATGTGTCAATAAAAGCCATTTGATAGAAAAAGGAAAAAATAAGAAGAAAAGAAAGAATATATATATATATATATATATATATATATATATATATATATATATATATATATATATATATATATATAGTAGCTGTAGTGTATGAAAAAAAAATAATTCCTGATGGTGATGGCTTTTGATTTATTGGTGCTTAAAGAAGTAGGGGGTAAAATATAATCAAGTTAAGGTGGAATTTTTGTTTGACATAAGTATAGGCTTGAAGGTTGAAGTGTTTGTATTAAAGTGCTTAAGGGAGATATAGTCACTTATATCCAAATGACCCGCAACCTACATTACAACCAATGAAAGTCCTATTTGATTTTAGACTGAATGAACTCGATTAGTGGAGTATTACACTAAGGAAAAGCATATGGTACGTCATTTGGGGCATATGAATGTTATTTCTTAGAGTGAGTGAATTTTTCCTATCTTGAGCTCCTACGTTATTAAAATTCATGGTGTGTGGAACTAAGCTGTTTGATTCGATGAGGGCACATGATTCATAAAGGAAAGGTAATGTTGTTGACCTCCATGTTAGAGTAAGTAAGTGAATTGTGAATAAAGCATGGTATGTGTGAGTTGATTATTGAGGCGAGGATGTCACACCTTTGCACTTAAACTATTTTAAAGATTCTTGGTATAATGAGTTAATGGATTGCTTAATGGGTTGTGTCCATGAGTGTAGTTTGATTGCTCGAGGACGAGCAAATGTCTAAGTGTGGGGTATTGATGTGTAGCTATAATTCATGGTTTAGCACATTATTTCCCTTGCATTTTACATGCTTTAATGATAAATTACACTTTGTTTGAGCATAATGGAGTCTATTTATGTGTAGGTGAATTGGAGATGAAAAATAGAGCTAAAGGGATACTTAAACGTCGAAGTGCGCTCGAGAACTGTGAAAAGGAGTCGCCAGGAAAAAGAACAGCTTGACCAGGATTTAGCCTGGCGAGGCTAGCTTAAAGCCAGGCCAAACTAGGCGTTAGCCTGGCGACGCCAGCTTAAAGCTAGGCCCAACCAGGTGTTAGCCTGGCGACGCCAGGCCTAAGGCCAGGTCAAGTCCGAGTTTTGAAGGCTTAAATTGTTTCTTGGCTTGACTAGGAGTTGACCTACATGTTTAGGGCTTGTCCCAAACATATAAATAGACCAAAACATACCACTTTGAAGGACTTTTGCAACCGGAGGAAAGAATAGCTCGTGGAAAACTACTTGGGAGTTAGAATCATCGATTTCTACATCCCTTTATCTTTACTCGGTAATTTAATTATGCAAATTACTTTGGATATTGTTACTATGAGTATGAGTAGCTAAACTCCTAATCTAGGATTTTGATGGAACCTGTTGAAGGATGATTTTCTCGTTACGTTAATATAGATTTGCCATAATATTTTCTCTATTAGTTCAACTATATGCTTATTGCTGTTGATTGAATGGCCCTCAATTAGATGTTTCTATTTAGTATGTACTCGCGAGAGAGTGTATATTTAGGTTTTTGTTGAACAACATCACTCCTAACGTATATGAGGGATCAATACGAAGGGTTTAAAGGTGGGACTAGGAATAACGAAACCTTGGGTGCAATCTAAGTGAGCTGTACTTAAGGCTAGCTAGCGTAATTCGGAAGAATATGTCTAGTATATGATACATGATTTTAGTATTTTTAGTGAGCTAAGATCGATATAGAAGCATTTGGAAGCCAAAGAAGTGTAATTCAAAAGTTAGTTTAAAAGGGAGGGAAAGTTAGTTACGGTAGTTAAAGTAGTTAGTTAGTGGTTGAATAACAAATCTGTTAGAAATTTTGTTAGAATACAGCTTCATTGAGAGTGTATGAATCATTACATATAGTGTTGTAAACATCACTTTGGGATATGAATAAAAATACATCAAATTTCCTAATCTCTCTACTCTTCTTCTTCTTCTTTCTCTTCTCTTCTTCTCTTCTGAATTTTTGAAATCTCAACTGCTTCTTCGACTTGTTCCTAGAGCAGTGATACGATCGTCGAATTCATCTGAATTCCTGCAAATCGAGTGACATTGGTATCAGAGTTGTATGATCCTTGGAATCATGGCAAAAGGAGCACGAACTACAGATAGTGGAAACGAAGAAAACTCTGATTTAAGAGAGTTGATGCAGAAGTTAATAGCGAATGTAGGTACTCTATCTGGAGAAGTATTAGCTCTAAAACAGTTAGATCAAGTAGTCCTTGAATTGAAAGAGCAAATGACAAATTCAAGAGAGAACCAGAAGGATAAAGCTCCAGCAACAGATGATGATGGACCTTCTGAAGCTAGATCCCATCGAGAGAAAAGCCCCGCGAGTTATAATCATCATAACTCCAATTTCTCTAAGTGGTCGAGGATGGAATTTTTATGATTCAATGGGGAAGATCTGAGATCATGGTTGTTCAAAATCGAACAATTCTTCTCTATGGAAAAAGTGGAGGCTGAAGAAAGGGTAGAAGTAGCAGCATTACAACTGGAAGGGGAAGCCATCCAATGGCATCTCTCTTTCATGAGGTATAGGCAGTACTTACAACCTGCTACTTGGAATGAGTATGTGATGGCATTGGTGGAAAGGTTTGGGGCTGATTTCGATGACCCTATGGAGGAGATCAAACAGACTGGGAGTGTGAAGGAATACCAGGCTATATTTGAAAGAAATTTGAATAGAGTGAGGTTATCCCAAGAAAATGCGATCAGTTGTTTCATTGGGGGTTTGAAGCAAGAGTTGAATATTGCTGTGAAGTTGACTAATCCCACTACCTTGTCTCAAGTGTACAGAACTGCAAGGATGCATGAAGTTTATTTAGCTGCAACTAAACAATAGATCTATGCAACCAGTTCTTCATCTAAACAATATGCAACACAAAGCAGTAATGGTAAGCCTCTATTGTCAACTCCTAATTCTGGTAATTCTAGATATACTAAGGGTTTTACTAAGAGAGCAATAAGCATAGAGGAGATGAATGAAAAAAGGGCAAAAGGATTATGTTATTTCTGCAATGAAAAGTATGTACCAGGCCATAGATGTAATAATTCTAAACAGTTGTACATATTGGAACTGGAGGAGATAGAGGAAGGGCCTTATACAGGGGAAGTGCAGGAGTTAGAAATTCAAGTTGAAGGAATAAACCTATTGGAATCATCTCAAGGTATGGAACAAATGGAAATTTCCATCCATGCTCTGAATGGTTCATTGGGTTACAGAACTCTTAAGGTTACTGGTTATCATGCAAAGAAGGCCCTAAGTATATTGATTGATACTGGTAGCTCACATAATTTCATAGATCCTGAATTGGTCAAACACCTAGGGTGTAAAATTCAATCTACTAAACCTCAATTAGTAGCTGCAGCTAATGGGAACATGATGGTAGATAGAGTATGTACAATCACTTGGCTACTACAAGGTGCTGAGTTTTCAGCAAAGTTTTTACTGTTACCTTTGGGCTCATGTGGAGTAGTGTTGGGAGTGCAATGGCTACTAACACTGGGGGATATAAAAATGAACTTTAGGAAGTTAACCATGGAGTTTTGGTATAAAGGCAGAAAACACCTTCTTAGAGGTGCTGGCAATCAAGTGAGGGTGCAGGAAGCTGAGAAATTAGCCAAACATACAGGAGATATGTCTCAATTGTGTATGATTCAAGTGGTGCCTATGGGGGAGACAGAAGATCAATGGCATGCCATTAAAACTGATGAGGACCCTGTGATAAATGATGGTATAACTCAATTGCTCAAGGAATATTCTGCATTATTTGAAGAACCTACTGGATTACCTCCTTCTAGGGGTATCTTTGATCATAGGATTGTACTACAAAATGGTACTGAACCTGTGAATAAAAGGCCTTATAGGTATCCTTCAGTCAAAAAGGATATTATTGAGGGTCTTGTGCAGCAGATATTAGATCAAGGCATTATTCAACCTAGTTGCAGCCCTTTTGCATCACCAGTAGTACTTGTGGGAAAAAAAGATGGATCATGGAGGTTATGTGTTGATTATAGAGATCTTAATAAGCACATTGTGAAGAATAAATTTCCTATTCCTATTGTGGAAGATCAATTAGATGAGCTTGGAGGATCTAAGGTCTTTTCTAAAATAGACTTAAGATCTGGATATCACCAACTCAGAATGGCAAAGGAAGATGTGCCTAAGACTGCCTTTAGAACTCATTCTGGTCATTTTGAATACCTGGTTATGCCATTTGGACTATCAAATGCTCCTGCAACTTTTCAAGGATTAATGAATTCTGTTTTTTAGAAGTTTCTTAGGAAACATGTATTGGTTCTCTTTGATGATATCCTTATATACAGCAGCACCTAAGAGGATCACTTGACTCACTTGAGGTCTATTTTTATGGAAATGACTAAGCACCAGCTATTTGCAAAGAAGAGCAAATGCTTCTTTGGAGTTCAAAAGATTGAGTATTTGGGACACTTTATTTCAGCTGAAGGAGTGTCTATTGATCCTCAAAAGATAGCAGCAGTCCAAAATTGGCCCACACCAACAACTCTCAAACAACTCAGGGGATTTCTAGGCTTAGCTGGATATTACAGAAGGTTTATCAAGGGTTTTGGGGTGATTTGCAAACCCTTAACTGACTTAACTAAGAAGGATGGGTTCAAATGGTCAAATTCAGCTGATGCAGCTTTTGCAGCCTTGAAAACAGCACTCACTAAGGCTCCTGTTCTAGCCTTACCAGATGTTACAAAAACCTTCATTGTAGAAACTGATGCTAGTGGTCAGAGGATTGGAGCAGTACTCATGCAGGAAGGGCATCCCGTAGCCTTTATTAGCAAGGCTCTATCACCTAAACATGCAACCTTATCTGTATATGATAGGGAACTATTAGCAATGGTACATGCAGTGACTAAATGGTCCAGTATCTGCTGGGGCAGAAATTTATCATCAGAACTGATCAGAGGCCCTTGAAGTATCTTATGGAGCAGACATTACACACCAACTCCCAATTATTATGGCTGACCAAGTTAATGCCATTTGATTACTCAATTGAGTACAAAAGGGTGTAGAAAATAAAGTAGCTGATGCCCTTTCTAGGGTAACTGGAGCTGAAATATTGACACTACTAGTGTCATCTGGTGATACTGATCTCCTTCAAGCTATAACTAATAGCTGGAGTTCTGATCAAGAACTGAAGAAGCTTATTGAAGAACTAGAAGCTGATCCTCTCACTCACAAACAATTCACATGGTCCAAAGATCAACTAAGAAGAAAAAGAAGATTGGTGATAGGTAAGGAGCCTCAACTGAGAAGAACCATCATGACTCTCTGGCATACAACCCCTCAAGAAGGACACTCAGGTATTGAAGCTACCTTGAAGAGATTACTTACCTTGTTCTATTGGAAGGGCATGAGGAAGGAGGTGAAGGATTTTATCCAAAAATGTGATATTTTCCAGAAGAACAAGTCTGATTTGGCTGCTTATCCTGGACTGTTACAGCCATTACCCATTCCAGATGTGGTATGGTCTCAAATTAGTATGGAATTCATTGATGGTCTACCTAAATCAAAGGGGCATGAGGTAATATTAGTAGTGGTAGACAGACTTAGTAAGTATGGTCACTTCATTCCATTGAAGCATCCCTACACTGCTAAATCTGTAGCTCAAGTGTTCTTAGACACTGTGGTGAGATTACATGGTCTTCCTGACACTATTACCAGTGATCGAGATGCTGTGTTCCTTAGCCAATTTTGGCAAGAGCTATTCACATTGCAGGGAGTCCAGCTAAATATTTCTTCTGCATATCACCCTCAATCTGATGGGCAGACTGAAGTATTGAATAGAAGTTTGGAGACCTACTTAAGGTGTTATTGCAATAAAGATGCTGCTAACTGGTACTCTTGCTTGCCTATGGCTGAGTACTGGTATAATACATCATTCCACTCAGCAATACAAACAACACCTTATGAAGCTTTGTATGGTCGACCCCCTCCTTTGCACTTACCTTACTTACCAGGGGAATCAACATCAGTAGAGGTGGATAACACTTTAATCAACAGGGAGCTGAAACTTCAACTACTAAAACACCATCTCAGGAGGGATCAACACAGAATGAAACAACAAGCAGATGCTCACAGGAGTGATAGGCAGTTTGCGGTTGGGGATTGGGTCTATCTTAAGGTTCAACCATACAAACAAGTCACTATATCCAATCATACTTCTCATAAGTTAGCTTCCAAATATTATGGCCCTTTCCAAATTCTAAAAAGGGTGGGTTCAGTTGCCTATACACTATTACTACCTGCTGGAGTCCAAATCCATTCCACAGTACATGTATCACTTTTGAAAAGGTGTTATGAAGTTCCATCAAAGATTGTTTACCCACCCACTCTTGACTTGGCTAGTCCATATTGCCCTGATCCTGAAGGTATATTACAAAGAAGAATGGTGAAGAAAGGAAACAAAGCAGTTGCACAAGTGTTGGTTAAGTGGCAAGGCCTTCCTGCTGAAGCTGCAACTTGGGAGTTTGCTACTGTTTTAAATACAAGGTTCCCTACATTTGATCCTTGTGGTCAACGATCTTCGATTGGGGGGAGTATTGATACATGGTTTTAGTATTTTTAGTGAGCTAAGATCGATTATAGAAGCATTTGGAAGCCAAAGAAGTGTAATTCAAAAGTTAGTTAAAAAGGGAGGGAAAGTTAGTTACGGTAGTTAAAGTAGTTAGTTAGTGGTTGAATAACAAATCTGTTAGAAATTCTGTTAGAATACAGCTTTATTGAGAGTGTATGAATCATTACATATAGTGTTGTAAACATCACTTTGGGATATGAATAACAATACATCAAATTTCCTAATCTCTCTACTCTTTTTCTTCTTCTTCTTTCTCTTCTCTTCTGAATTTCTGAAATCTCAACTGCTTCTTCGACTTGTTCCTAGAGCAGTGATACGATCCTCGAATTCATCTGAATTCCTGCAAATCGAGTAACAGTATATTATTGTAATTACTCGGGAGAGAGTTATGACAGTCAGAGTGGTCATGATCAATAGAGAAGACTTAGGCAAATTTATAGGAAACGTAGCGGAAAGGATTCCGACAATAGGGGAAATCAAAACCTTAGATCATTCCCATTCTTGTCTACAACCCGTTCGTAGTTAGTCTTATTATTTGCATTTTCATTACGTAATATTTAGTTAGTAAACATCCAATCTATTACTTAAATATCTCCGAAGATTGAATACGTAAATTTGTGTAAGTCCAATAGCTGTGATTGATAGGTTAATTCCCTGTGGGATTCGACTCCGGACTTGTTAACCAGAATATATTTGCAGCGACCGATTTGTCCTTCTTATAAGGCATAGTTGGGCGTGATCAATGAGCATAGATGATGATGCAAATTATACCAAAATCATATCGGTGAAAAACTATGCGGAGGAAGTCGAGCGATTTGACCAAGATATTCCAGTTCTAATGGAAAATCCTACGAAAATCTTGGAAAGTTATGTACTTTTTTTTTAAAAAAAATTTTATGCTTGCAATTTGCAACATTTTACGTTAGAATATAAAGTTCAAATTCTACTCAATAAAATTAGAGGCTTTAGCCTTGGAAATATTTTTCAAACTATTGTCTTGTTCAAATATTTAAATTTTATTTCAATCTTTAAAAAATTTCCTGACCCGTTCCCAACCCGTCCCATCCCATTTCATCTCCATTCAACCCAGCCCACTTACGTGATGTGGGATGGGACGGGACACCACTCCTGTTCCCCTATTTCCGTCCTGGTCCCTCCCGTTTCTCTTGTACCATTCTTTCATGTCTCCCTTTTTTCGTCCCGTCCAATTCCATCCCCCCTAACAGCCTTAGGCTTTAGTACTATCACTGATCTTTTTTAGTTGTGCATCTTCTTGTCTTGTTTTCTCCATAAAGTCCAATACCATAAAATATTCTCGTTCTAATTCAAATTGCTCTTTCATTTTCTTATATAGTCTTTACAACTTTCAAAAAAATTTAAATTTATTATATTATTCACATGGATGTATCTATAGGTAGAGATATGTATTTATGTGAATCCATGCTCTTCGTTTTAGACAATATAATGCTATATTTTTTTAAAATTACTGAATTTCACATTTGTGGATAATGTGCTGCAATGTTTAATATTTTTTCTTTATTACCCCCTTCTTGTAACTTAATTGGTTCTTCTATTGGCATTCTTTTGCATTCTTTTTTCTTTGGGTTTAGTATTTTTATTTTTATTTTATAATCTGTTATTTCTGCTACTTCTCATCTAAGTAACTTTTCCGAAGTAAATTGGACTTTGTTTAGTGTGTACGCCCATTGAAATGGGGTTGCAGATGAATAAGTACTAAAAATTAAATTAGATTTTTTACTATATTCTATTAGACTATTAAACACCAATTAGATTATTAAATTTAATTTTACAGTATCACTTTATATTTGAAAAGGAATAGTCATAGCAGATTAGATAAAGAATCAACATGATGCAGAAAATATATGGAAATATTTTTAGGAGAATCAACAAAAAGGAATGTGGGAACAATTTAAATTAGAATTCCAAGAAGAGTTTCAGAATATACTATTAATGGGAGAAAATTCTTATAATTTTATAAATAAAATACATAGTTTAATTACTGGAGAATACCCTAAAGTGGACATATAGAATTACAAAAAGATATCTTAATCAAATTAGAACAACTTAGTATTAGTAGTTGGTTTTATATTAAAAATTTCTTTAAAAATTTCTTTTACTACATGTAATGACCCGGTCGACCGTTTTGAGTATTTTATCCCGATTTCTCCTATTTGATGCTTTACTTACATGTAATTGTGACTACATGACTTGCCGGGGCGGTTGGTTTGGTTTCGGGAAGGTTTTGGATTGAATTAGGACACCTAGTCCCAAGGTTGGAAGCTTAAGTTGTAAGAGTTTACCAAAGTTTGACTTTAGGTAGACGACTCCAGAATGATGCTTTGATGGTTCTAATAGCTTCTTATAGTAATTTTGGACAAGGTGTATGTCCGGATTTGGATTTGGAAGTTCCTAGATTGTTTTGGCTTGAATTGGCGAAAGTTGAAAAGTTGAAGGTTCATAGGTTTGACCGGGAGTTGACTTTGTTGCTGTCGAATTCGGATTGTGGTTTTGGGAGTTGAAATAGGTCTGTTGTGTCATTTGGACATGCATGCAAAATTTTAGGTCATTCATATTTGATTTGATATAGTTCGACATGAATTTTGGAAGTTCATTAGGCTTGAATTGAGGTGCGATTCGTAGTTTT